TCAGTCTTCTAACAGACAACCACATACAATATCCAAAGAAAAATTATTCCATGCTGTACAAAAAATGTCTAAGTTCTATGATTGTCTTGCAGAAACATAAGCAATGACAAGGATTAGTTCTGGGATGAGGAGTATTCTATTGTATAGGCCAGGTATGAGTGATACTTTAAGAATGAGGTCCATCTTTACTGGTGGTAGGTGTTAAATGCTCATACTGGCTTAAATAAAATGTATTTGTAGTATTAAACATTAAAAGTTACAGGTTTTATTCAGATTCTATGAGCTAGTCCTGAAGAGCACCATTCAACTCTTAAAATTTAGGTAAGATCTGTAACCGCACTAACAAACAGATTACATGTATTTTTGAAGCATTGTGTACATTCACTGATCTAGAAATTGAAGCACATTGTTATACCATTAACATTTAGAGTCATTGGCTGTTCCTTTGTAATTCTGACAGTAAAAAATGCTTTAAAGTATGACTGGATAAAATTGTTACTGTAATAATGAAGTATGAGTATGAACATAACTGTTGGCGGTTTGAAATTTCATGTCTGTGCAGCTTACAATCTTACACTGTAGAATGTTTTGATTTATATTGCCTTAAATGCCCATTAGTAGCACTGATTCTACATGTGCCACTTACAAGAGCGCTAAAGTTAAAACTGACTGGAGCTGGATTCTGAACTTTTTAAAGACAATGTGAGCAGGACATAAGGGGATGCTTTTGACAATATTTGGAACATTGGACGAGAGGATTTACTGTCAAACCCCGATCAGTGCTTTTGAAGTATTTGTGAAATGGAGTGATTTGTCATTAAAAGAATCAAATGTGTTCAACTGTCTGTATGTACCCTTCCATTTAAAAATGTTTGCCTTTTAATGTATAATTGGAGGGCCTGTTTCATATTCTCCTTGTACATCTTCTCTATAAATTTAATGAGGTATCTGCAGACCTACTTTTAAGTTTAATACAGTCCTGGGAAGCTGTTCCCACTTTATTAAAAAAAAAAAAAAAAAAAAAATCCAAAGTATAGGGGAATGGAAAGGTGGTAAAACTTCTGTTTTTCTAGTAGGAAAACAGAACAACTCCACTTAAGGCATCTATACTAATGTTGGAATTGACATAATTTAAGAGCATTAAGATTTTTTTTAATAGCATTGTCAAAAGTGAAAATAGGTAGGTTCATTTAGTCTGTACCACCTATCAAACCTTCAATACATGTTTGTCAAGTTAAGTTTTAGAGTGTATGTAACTAGTTACAGGACTGAAACTAATAAGTGAAACCCATACGTTAGCATTAGAAATATTTATTCAGAATATAAGAACATTTGTAAAATAAAAAGTATTATAAATGTCTCTGTATAAATAAATGCAGTTTTTACAATTCTATATCAAATAAACACAAAATAACTATTTTACAGCAGCTAAGGAACTAAAAAGCAGAACACAGTTAAGGCAAATCAATTAGGTGAAAAGTCTCTAAAATTACAACATATAGTACAATGTTAAGTGACATTTTTAAATGAAAAACTTCCAGTATAAACAGTGGAATACTGATGTTAATGCAAACTTAGTCACATGTGCTTTCTAATAACTAACAATACATTCAAGCTGGTGTAAAGGTTTTTTATACCTTTTAATTAGAAAAGTACTTTTTCAGAACAATATGAAATATAAAATTTCATGCACTGTATGACAGACAATTTTTAAAAAGTCATTGGAACAAGATACAAATTAATATACTGTTGCACTTGTCTGTTAAGAGACTGAAGGAGAATTGAATAGGTTCTTATAAATAGAACCTAACTCTTAGCTATTGAACTCAAATGAGTTTTTTTTAAATTGTGGGAGTTGGGTTGCAATGTCTACAGGTGATGTAAGTTACTTCTGAAGATAGAATGCACACTTGTCAGTTTAGATAAAGCCTACATAATACTTCAAGCTGGTGTTTCAAACAGTTGCATAATTAAATATTAGTTTTTGGAATTTACTGTTTTAAGGTGGTCATTTTTGTAACTAGTGCACTAGGGCTACTGCTACTTTTAACCTATTACAAGAAGCACTAAAACATTGAACACAAACTCTTGATTGGTGTAAAGCTATTTCACCACTATTTCCTATTGGTCCTATCCCCACTCCCTTTTCTAATATACTAACAAATGAAGCAGTACTTTGTAGGTACCCACATCTTCCTTTTAACTGTTGGAGATTCCACGGCAGAGGCTGTGACAAAGCAAATACTGTCTTGTTCATCAACATCATGGAAGAAATGTTGGGTAGGTTATCTTTAATCACCTTGATATGATTATTTGCTGTAAATTTTACATCTTTACAGCGTTCTTAAAATGTATTTGAAATAAAACAAATTGCTAAAAACAAACTCAAAAGGCAGGTTAAAATTGGCACCATCACAAAATAATATGTAATCCTTGTGATTTAAATGAGTTGGAAAACTTGTACATCATTCCTCATCCCTTTGAAATCTGAGTAAGGTTCTGGCTCAATATTCCTGCCTAATAAAATTGTCTATACACAGGACAGGTTCTACTCAGCTCAGCACTATTTTGGAGAGTGATAAGGCAAGCCTAGACTTTGTGGTCATATAAAAACGTCTACCTAATTCAAAACAGTAAATCCTCTACTAAACAGAACCCTTTTGCCTGAATGAGGGGACTACAGCTTTGGACCTATTATCTAGCCACTTACATCTAGACTTAACCCTCAGACCTAAGGACTTGAACACTGCTGCCTAATGTAGGGCTGATCTCCAGGAGGTAAAGTTGATGGCTTGAGAGTCCTTGAACCTGTGGGAACTGGCTTAGTGCATCTCTCACACTATCATGTCTAAGTAGGGTTGCGCACACACACATTCTTTTAGCACCAGCAAAGTTGGGTCCCTGTGGTTGCAAGTCAGGTAGCAGGGCTCTACCAGGTGGCCCTTCATTTGTAAGTTAATGCTGTCTTTTTCATTTATGCTGGTGTAGTCAGGAGGCTGGGTTTGGCATGGTTGCAGCTTATGTTGTCTCAGATTTGCTACTCAACCTTCACTGATTTTAAGGAAAGAGAACAGCAGTTGCTGAAGGGAATGAAAGCATTGGAAACCAGCATTAAGAACCATTGAAGTTTAAATCTCACCTAAGGCTGTTTTTAACCTGCTCCTTAAAAACCTGAAAGCAAATCCCCTTATTGTCCCTGCTTAACATCTGGAAGCAGCAACACATGATATCAGCTAGGAAGGCCAAAGGCTTAGTCTAGGGAAGGGTTACTCAGTGTAGAGAACCATGGCCACAGCTCTGTGGAAATACTTTAAAAGCTAAAGAAGCCTTTAGAGAGAAATTCACATCACTTTAAACAGGTCTAGGAAACTCAAGACAAGTCCCAAAACAGACAAAAAACCCCAACAAATTCCTGTGACAGGTGGGAATGACAGCAGATTTTTGAAAATCTATTTGCCAAGGAAAGCACCTCAATCTTGATCAATACTAAACATACTAGCACTGTAGTAATAATAATAAAGTTAACTGATGCCAGGTTGATTAAACGGATGAGGGTGGGTTGTTTTATTTTAAGTGCTCAGACAATCTCAGCGACAGTGAGAAAACAAAAGTCCTATGAACCAAGGCCCAAAGGAGCTGGGATGAGTGCCATGTCTGAGACTACACCTTCTGCTTCCTAGAGGTGGCAACCTGATCTCTGTGCTTCACTCAGCCGCTACTAAAAACACCAGACTCATTCAGTCTTACCATGTGCTAGCTAACATGACATGAGAAACAGACTGTCTCGGACAGAGAAGTCCACACATTATAACAGTAACTTACTAACAAATAGCCTATAAATGTAATTTTACAACAGCCATCAGAAGGCTGTGTTCATATAATTTCTACTCACACTGTACTAAGAGCCAGCCATTTGCTCACTCATTTTGTGTGTGTGTGTATCTATGTATATGCACATTCATGTGCATTTATTTTAATATTGAATAGGTACATTCCTTATAAATAAGTACCTTTTTGGTCAATACATCATAAGTGCAGAGAGGGTTTCTGCCTCTTGGTCACACACAGGTGTAATGGAACATTATGCTGATTAATACTACTCTGCACCTAACAGAGGCTTCTTTGAGGAAAACCTTGTCTATAACGTAATGTATTTTAGAAAAATAAATCCAACTTTTTCTAAATTGACTGTCAGCACTACCCTATAACATGAAGGACAAAAACTTCTTACCCAATCTTGGCCCCTACACTGTAAATAGAAAGCATGTGGCCACATACAGCCTGTAAGGGCATAAGAAATAAAACAGCATTGTAGACTTGCAGCAAGAGCTTTCTAGTTGCTGTGATCAGGAATCCTCCCTGGGTAAAACGTCTCTGAATTAGCAGGAGCGATCCTCCTCCATCTGCTGGACTGTGTGTGGAGAACTGCAAGTTTGGTGCAGGGTACAAACCAGGCTGTCATCTTGCACATCTCCCCCTCACCAACCATGTACATACAATAGATGTAACAGCAAATCATACTGCAAGATTTCAGGACAAAGAGAACATGGGGGCTGGGAGATCTATCAAACTGGCTTAGTCTGTGCCCAAACAAACATACAAAAGCATCTGAGTAAGTGCAATTTTGGCATTGTCTGAGGAGTAAATTAAAAGCAAGGGAATGCATCAAGATCAAAATGAAAGTGGAGGGACTGCCACCCATTAGGATTTGAGGATGGGTGATAATCCTGCATGTGTGTGTATATACAAAATCACATGTACTGCGAATGACTGGAAACTTTACCTTCAGACACTGTCCATTTCAAGCAGTGATTAATAAACAATCCTTTGCTAAAATAGTCTCCCCATTCCTCCTGGTTTGATTTGACAAAGCCACAAGGCTGATCTATGCCTGTTATGTTTCAGATCCTTAATAGTGTTCACTACCTAAAATCAGTTAAAGAAAAAACAAACAAACTGGTTTTTAATGGCACTAATTGTCATCATATATATATATATATATATATAATTTTAAAGCGAAGTTTCATTGGTGTGAGGTCTTGAGTTCTCCTCCTCCAGCAATGCTATTCTTTGTTTGAGCATCCTCACTTGAGTCTCATGCCTCTCAACCATGGCCATCATTTGTGACTCCAGTTTCTTCAGTTTGTTTTGATGCTTCTTCTTTGCTTTTTCATAAGCTGCCACAAGGTTACTGTTAGAAACAGACAGCAATACAAGATCATTCAACAAAACTAGCTCAAGTTAAGCACCTAGAAACAGACACCGAAAATCAGTGGCCACTTCTGAAAATTTGGCAAAGGGATTCCACCCCCTAAAATTTAATATAAAACTTTGAACATGTTTTTTCAAGGTTTACAAAATGATTCTCTCACAAGCCAAGACCTTGTTTATAAAAAGTCTCAGCCATAGGAGAACTAATGTTCCTCCCAGAAAATAAAAAATCATCAAATGAAAGCCCGAGAGGCCCAAATCACAAATCAGGGAGAACAGGGTCTAATTACTGAATGTAAATATCTACATCAGAGGAACTCTTGGTGTTTTATTAATGCCTGTGGCATTAAAGCAACATATCTAACTGTGATAATTTATTGTGATGCATCACTATATGCTTGCTGCACTAGTGCGCTATGCAGTTCCAGGTTATCATATGATGTCTGAGGATTGTGGGCCCAATTGTTTGAGGTGCCGAGCACCCGCACCTCCCTGGTGTAGAGGCTGCTCAGCATATCACCTAGGCCTGGGCCCTCGGTGCATATCACAAAGTGTTTTGTTAAGGGGACACTGTCAGGTAGGTTTATGATCAAAATTTAGAGATTGTAAATAAAAGAAAGATTTATAGAACATTATTATTATTTAATTAAAACATTTATCACAAATAGTTCAATGGATGAGGTTTTTTACTGTTTTTGTCCCCTGCCAAGCCTTTCCCAAAAGTGTGGGGAATCAACAAAGTGTTAGTGCCTGAGAACTAGAAGTTGACACTGACGTGTCTAGTCTCTACATAGTGAATGAAGTACAAAAAGGAATGGAAGTATTATATATTTTTAATGCCATATTATTTATAAGGAAGGAAGGTCTGATGGGTAGGGAACGGGACAGGGACTTGTGAAACCACTGTTCAAATCCTACCCTAGGCATGAACCTGGGCAAGTCATTTAATCTCTGTGCTTCAGTTCTGCACCTGTAAAATGGGGATAAATAATACTTCCCTGTAAGGTAATGCACTGATGAGCGTGAGGTGATCAGGTATTACAATGATGAGGGCCATATAAGTGCCTAGATAGATCTTGAGAGTGTCCCTTTGAAGTCCAACAATGTATTACATTTAGTTGCCAAATGCCCTCTCTTCAACCTCCCCTTTCGCTCAGTAGGAGACCCCAAATGGGTGCTGGTTGAAGATCAAGTCTTGCCCACCACCTCAATGGCCAAGACTTTCTCTAACAGGTAAAGTATGGCTCATGAGTGACAAATTACACAGTGAATGGTTGACTCCTTGAAGGAAGGGGACCAACAACAATTGTAACCCCTCAGTCCATCAAAGCCTATTGATGCAGACCAACTGGGAGATGGGGGCACAGTCTGTATCACTGTCAGTGCTACACTTTAAAGTACTGAGTGGGATTATGGAAGGAAACTTGATAATAGGAGAATTTGAAGGGATAAGAAGAGATGCATGAGCCAGGCCAGGGAGGTGGTGAACGAAAACTGCAATAATTCACAAACATGATTAAACTGAGAACTGTTTTATAATGGATGATATTTTTAACTGCAATAGAATCTCTCCCCACCCACGCACACAGGTTATGGAGCACTCAGTGACAAGGATTAGTCTCTTCCCCCAACTCTAACCTTGCATTCTTCAAGACTCTACGGGCAAGCAGCTGAGGATGCAGAAACTGTTCATTAGGGAAAGGAGAGGATTACAGTGCACTACCAGAATGCAGCAGAAGTCAATGTGTGCATCCATTCACTAGAAGATCCTTTACCTGTTTGCCCTTTTCAGGTCATTAACAAACTCTGCAGACTGCTGATGTCTGATTTCACTGCTCTTCGTGAGTCTCTCTAAGGCACTCACTAACTCTTGCACTCTCCCTTTCAGTTTCTTCTCTCTGCACCAGGACACAAGGAGTGAGGAAATCAGTTATCCATATAATTTGGACTTGCAAGAGTATAGACCGCATTCAACAAAGTTCCTTCTGTTAGATTTAAAGGAGGAAAACAGTTTTTTATACTACTTTGATAATGCAGGATTTAGTTTTATGAGGTTAAACTTTTGTTAAATTGATTTTGTTAAAAGCAAAACGGTAACAATTCACATATTAGGAATGTAAGATAAAAAGAAATATGGACAAACATTAGATCGTCACTGGGGATGGTCTTGTCCATGCTACAGCTCTCTCACATAAGCGCAGAATGTGCAATATCCACAGTTAGGAAAAGAGATGCATGGAAGAAGATATTAGTATATAGCATATTCTATATATTATATATTTAAGATGGCAACTCAGATAGTAAAGTAAACAATATAAAGAAGTTAAAACCTAAAGCTAATATATATAAAACAATTAAATACAAACATGGTGGACCTAGGATAACTAGGTAATTTGCTAGTCAAACATTATTTGTTTTTATTTAAAAATTCTCTTCATTAGAAAAAACTGCAGGAAGACTCACTACATAAAAGAGGGAGAAATCAATAACTAAAGAGGAACACTTCACTAGCATCCAAAACAACCACCAGCGTCACACCCTGCAGGAAAAGAAAGGAGGGTCTCATTGTTACGGAAATTAAATGCTGCCCTGGAGTACTGGATTCCAGCCTTTACCTCTGCCTAAGTTCCTATGTGATGCTGGGCAAGTCACTGAAACCAAAGGATTCATAAGTGGTCAGTAGTTGTGTGTTTCTCATTTTCTGGGTGCTCAACTTGATTGCCAGGGTCTGATTTATAGAGGTGATGAGCACTCACAGCTGCAAATGAAGTCAATGGGAGCTGTGCTTTGAACATATGAAGTGCTACAGAATGGAAAGTACTCTGAAAAATCAAGTGCTGGAAACTTACTGGAAACTTCTGACCTTAAGCACTCTATCTCCATTGGCAATAATATCAACTTATCACACAGGGGTGTTGTGAGGATAAGTCATGGTTTTGAAGCACTCAGATACTATAGTGATGAATGCCACTGAAAAACCCACAAGGAAATGAAGAATTCCGTCTTCAGAGCAGGGTTTGAATAGCATTCAATAAATAAGACCCAGCGCTACACATCGAACAATGAGGAAAAAACAAGATGGTGAATAGGTGCTCATTACATTCATTCTGTGCACCGAATGCAGCAGGGTCCTGTGGAAAAAATAGTATGTGGTCATGTAATTAGAGACTGCATAGTTCTAGCATTTAACTTTTGAGTCCTTTGCAAACTTAATAATGTTTCTTTAACATATGTTTATTACATACACAAAGCTATCATGCTACCAATGAGACTATACAATTATCTACTGTAGTGATTTATAGGGAGAGCATGGGTATTTTTCAGCATAAAGTAAAAAGAGCTGTTTGGAGCAGCTTCAGGATTGCATTTAGGTTCTTTGCTGCCAAGGGCATCTTTAATTTCTAGACGCAAGGTGTTGGAACCCTGAATTCATACAGTTCACAAATATTCAAGGCATACTAGACAACCTACCCAAGGCTAGAGATTAGGTATGATGTCTGGTAAAGACACTGTAGTGAATGTGTAAAATCAAATCCCTTGTTAAAACTTTTGATTGTGGGCCTGCCTACCTCCTAACATGAGATCCACTAATTAGTCTCCATTTGCTGTAAATGTCCCTTTTTCAGTCCAAATTGATCAACCGTATTTTTTTAATTGCACTGACATTTTGAGCTTTATTGTGAATTCCATTAATTTCACCCCACTTAGGTTCTACTAAACTTTATTTACACATCTATTTTATTTGATTTATGCTTCTCCCGTTTCCCCTCTGGGCTGGCTGTACTGGTACATGGTTCCTAGGTCAGGGGCACCATTTCAGAATTTGGTGGCGGGGTGTGTGTGCGCACGCGCAACTTTAACCGTGATTCCAAGGGCTACTTAGTCACCTGAACACACTAGGGTTTTTTTGCAGATAATTTAGAAATTAGCTGATAAGAATTAGATATAGTGCTCCTATGTAAAAAAAAGAGGATTTAATAAATAATAGACTCACTCAGCTCTAATACTAACATATTCTCACATCTTGTGTCAAGTCACTTAAGGAACACTGGTTAGGTTTGAAATGTTAATGTATATTCTTTGTTACTAACTGTTGAATACAACAATTGAAACAATTATAGAAAAATCTAGATTACTTTTATCACTTTTTTGCAGTTCTTCAAACTTGGAATAGATCATTTAATTTTGGAAATGTCCTCCTCGGGTAACGCCCTATGAGTTTATACTGCACCTGTCTGGGGCTCTAGAGGTGTGTTATCTCACTACAAACAATAGACTAGAAACTAATCTTAAACAGGAGTGAAACTGACACTTTCAAGTCACTTTCACAGTATTGCCAATCCCAAATATTCAAAAATCATGAATCAGACTCACCAAATATCATGAGATTAGCTTTAAAATCATGAGATTAAGTACAAATAACAGATTTGGGGTTCTTTTTATTTGCCTTCTGCTTTTTGAGCCTTTAGGGTTCACTGGGGTCACATTTTGAAGCTTTCTGCACAGCCACGAGGACTAGAAACTTCATTTTTCTTTAAGAATGAACGCTGAAATCATCACATATACACTCGACTCGAGGAGCTGCGGCTTTAAGGAAAACAATTATCATGAGACTCATGACAAAAATCATGAGAGTTGGCAACACTGCTTTTACTTCTATTTAAAGGCTAGTTACTTTCCAGAAGGCTCTTAAACAACACTACAGTGATTGAGTTGCAATTCTCACAGGAGGACATTTAAAACCAAACACCAAGAAAATTCCATATTTTAAAGTTAAGGAAAAAAACAGACTTCTGAGCTATATCAGGACCACTGCAGGCAGGTAAGGAAAATAAACAGGCCCAGGAGCTCTGGACAGCTCTTCCTTTAGAAAGAAAGTTGGAGGGTCAAATTTTCTAGTCCTTAATCAAGTAAAACTTCTATTGCCATCAGTACCTCCACTCACAGATATAAACATGACAGTGAACATGTGATAACGTGTGTGGTCAATAACTACACACTATATACTTAAATATCTGAGCCATCTTATCCAGAGTTACACATTTTACATGCATTGGCTCAGGGACTGGATTTTCTGGCATATCCTGAACAACGCTGAGCACACAGATGAATAATGCAAATCATGACAATAATCGTTGACTTTATGGATTCTGTGGATGCAGTTTCTGTTCTTTGTTCTGGAATTGGCTTGAATACAGCTGAAACCCTAAGAATTTGAGGCATAAACACATCTGATACTTATATGACACTTTCTCATTCCTTCCTTTTCTCAAACTCAGAACAAAAAATGACTGAACAAAATGGTTTTCAGTTAAAATGTAAAATTGCACAGCAGCCATTGCTGTACAACCCAGCATGGGGCAGAACCTGCAACCCCTTGGGAGTTAAGTGACCTCCTCTCATCTGACTCTCATTCTCCATCCTTCCTAACCCCTGTGCTGCTTTTCATGCTGTCAACCATGACATCTATCCTGGGACCATTTGCTGGAGTCTCAGAGAACGGGCCGCCTTGGTTTTGCTCCCATCTATCAGAGTCCTCTTTTTTTTGCAGCATGCAGCAGAGAGAGAGGCTGGTCTGCTGGGTAGGGAGCTAGCTCTGAGAGACCTGGATTCTACTCCACCCATGGACTTCCTGTCTGGCCCAAGGCCAGTGCTTTAAGGACAGAATTTCAAAGGTTTTTAGGCACCCAAAGATGTAGCTAGATATCTAATGGGGTTTCCAGAGCACCAAACCTTCTAAGTGCATTTGAAAATCTCACTAGGTGCCTAAATACCTTTGAAAATCTGGCCTTTAGTCTGTGTGTGCCTCAGTGCCCCATCTGTACAATCATAGATTAGGGTTGGAAGAGACCTCAGGAGGTCATCTAGTCCAACCCCCTGCTCAAAGCAGGACCAACACCAACTAAATCATCCCAGCCAGGGCTTTGTCAAGCCTGACCTTAAAAACCTCTAGGGATGGAGATTCCACCACCTCCCTAGGTAACCCATTCCAGTACTTCACCACCCTCCTAATGAAATAGTGTTTCCTAATATCCAACCTGGACACCCTCCCACCCCCCACTGCAACTTGAGACCATTGCTTCTTGTTCTGTCATCTGCCACCACGGAGAACAGCCGAGCTCCATCCTCTTTGGAACCCCCCTTCAGGTAGTTGAGGGGATAACAGCATTGCTCTACCTCACCGAGGGGCTGGGAGGAGAAATAGGTTAGATCTGTGAGGTGCAGCCTCAGATACTATGGTGATGAGACTACATAAGTACCACAGGTAGAGTGGGAACTTCTCTATACACGGGTAGCCCTTCCCTGGGTTTGACCACTTCTTTTCACCTACACCCCCAAATCTCTCCCTTTTCTGAATGTAACCTAGGCTCAGTGCTTTGCTGTATTTTTTCTGAATCCCCCGTTCTCTCTGAAACAACCCCTCAACCTTATCTCCCTGCCACGGAGGGATTCCTCCTTTACACGCTAAACTTCCATACCCTTAATTTAATCACCAGCTCTTTCTTATCTTAATCACCCTGCCTCTGTTTGTAAACAAAATACTGACTCCCTGCTCCAGGGGCACATCTCCTCTACAGAACTTACATTTCACACTAATGCTGTGCTGTAGTTAAGAGCTCCACCTGGGAGCTTGCACATCTCCTGTATGAAACTCAGGGAGGGGCTCCCGCGCTCCCCTGCCCGCCCCCCCAATTGGCGCCTTTGTCCTAGGTCCTTAACTGGAAATCCATGGTGTCCAATTTATGGCACCACTGATAACCTCAGTTCATTGGTTTAATCAACAAACCCCAGTTCTTCATTACAAGTCTCTGCTGTTTATGCTAGAGGCATCATCATGATATGCAGTTTCCAACTTCCGAAGCCACAAGGGAAATCCAAAAGTTATGGCTGAAAACAA